TCCGGCTACTGGGAAGGCTGAGGTGGAAGGATTGCTGGAGCCGAGCAGGTCGAGGCTGCGGTGGCTGGGAGCGGCCACTGCACTCCAGTCTGGGTGACAGAGTGAGACTCCAACTCAAAAACAAAAAAAAGAAAGAAAGAAAGAAAGAGGAGATATAGAGAAGAATCACATTTTGTGCTGGGGCCTTAAAAGAATCACTCACACTTCTGGAATAACCACTCTCACTTTGTGCCTGAGCCAAGATTCCTTCCTCCCCCTGGAACACCCATTTCTCTCTTTTTCTCCTTTTTAATTCCTGCTTGTTCCACAGGGTCAGTCCAGATGTCACCTCTTCTGGGAAGCCTTCCATGACTTCCATGCCCCTCCCACTCAAGAGCTTCCTACACTCCAGCACTCATGCTCAATGCAAATTGTTCTGTCATCTTTCCCTCCCACACTCACCCAATGTAAAGACTTGACAGAAGGGACTGTGTCTTATCCCAGGTGCCTGGCAAAGTACCTAGCTTATAATAAGCACTCAAAAAATATTTGTTGAATAAATGAATAAATTAATGAATAAATGGAAACTCTTCTGTGACTCCTCCTTCTCTGTTGAATAAAATTAAACTCTGTGGTCTAGTTTTAAACACTGCATGAACTGACACATTGATTTTTCTGGTACTCAGCTTCCCTGAACACATCTCACCATACTGGAAAACACATTGTCCTTGAAGGTACTTTATATTTGCCCATCTCCACATATTGTATGTGTTCTTCTATCAGTCTTAAATATCTCACCCATTATTGCCATCAAAATCTTACTCCTTTCACAGACCTCCTCAGATACCATCTGTCTATGACCCAGTCTCAGATCTTCCCAACTAGCAGTCCTGTCTACCCCTGAACACACAGCACTTCATGTATTCTATGTGTAATTTCTCATGTTCTGCCTTGTATTTGTTTTTGTGTCTTTGTTTGAATGTACTTGTAGAGTTCTTCTCAAAATTTAAAAATCCGTGGTTCAAATAAACTCACATCATACTCATCTTTGCCTCTGCCACAGAGGGCATCTAGCGTGGTCCTTGTTATTGTTGTTGTTTTTTCCTGAGATAAGAGTGCCCACATCATAGGATCCCTGTGAATATTAAGTAAAATACACTATTTAAATATTGGTACAGTGTCTCTATTCTTATACAGTAAGAACTCAATAAATGTTAGCTAACATTGTTATTGTAATTATTATTTGAAGGACTAAATAGACCAAGCAAGTCCTGTTAGTTCTACCTTCAAAACATCTTTTGGATTCTGCTTCATCTCACCACTGCCAATATTATCACCCACTCCCAGCCATGATCATTTCTCTTGATACTGTCATGATAGACCACTCCATCTCCTTCCTCCCACTCTCTTATCTCTTTACCTTTAGCAGCCAGCACGATCCCTTTAAATCAGAAACCCTCAAAACCTTCCAGCGCCTTCCCAATCTGCCACTAAAAGGCCTCATATGGTCTGGCCTCCTGTCCCTCTCTCCCTGCACTCACTGATGCTTTCTGCTCTGGGTAGGTTTGCATCACAGGGCTCTGCACGTGATTCTTCTGCACGGGATGATCTCTTCCAGCTTAGCATGTCACCTGCTTCTTCACTGCGTTCAGGTGAACCTATCCTCTCAACTGTTACCTTTTAAAAAGTAACCACCATATGTAAAATACCAATCATCGCTCTCAATGTATTTTATATTTTTCATAGCTCTTAACATGACCTAAACACATATGTATATCTTTACTAAAATAAAATCGTTTATAGTCTTTCTCCTTTGCTAGAATTACAAGCTCCATGAGTATTTGCTCCATTCCTAGTCTCTTGGACAGTGTCTGACACATAGGAGATGCTCCATAACATTTGTTGAATGATTGAACAGTGGCTGGGACCTCCTTGGGTGGGGTCTTCAGGCACAGAAGCAGCATCTTGTTGCACAACATTACTTACCTATTACTGGGTTTGTGTGAAGAGGATGTGTGGGACCAACTAGCTATAGGGGATAACATTAAGATGACCTATTTGGCCTAGATGAAAATCTGGCAGAAAATGATTCCAGGTGTGCTTTCCATAATGAACAATGTGAACCCCCAGAGTGAACTCTTCTGGACTGACTGTGGCCACCACAGAGGGGGCCCCACAGCCTCCTGAGATCTTTGTCCCAAAGCTCCTCCAGAACCTGCTTGGCTGGCTGGGCTTGGAAGAGCATCTGTTGATGAAATGCTCCAGAGGTGAAGTTCCACATCTATCCTGAATCTGCCACACTGGCTTCATGACATCCACGTGGAGCAGCCTGGAGACCTCAGCAGAAGGGTAGGATGATATGATGGAGGGGAAAGCTTCGGATTCAGGACATCTGAATTCCTGATGATTAGGCAAGCCACATCTATTCTCCGGTCCTTTGAAGGAAGAACCACTCTCACTTTGTGCCTGAGCCAAGGTTCCTCCCTCCTTCCACACCCCCCCCACCCCGCCTCTTTTTCTCCTTTTCAATTCCTGCTTGTTCCACAGGGTCAGTTAAAGATCATAAGATTGACTCGAATATATCTTTAAAGTTCTTTCCAGAAGTGAATTTCTATAGTTCCATGAGCTTTGTTTATGAGAGAAACTGGACTAGACTCTTAAGGGTGGGGCAACTGGGAGAGAAACCCAATATGGAGGGTAATTGAACTCAGGCTTTGCAATAGAAGCTCATCAAGGGCAGCAGGTGGCGCCATTGCTGCACCAGGATGCTCAGGCCCAAGGTGGGAAAGTTGGATTTTCTGGAAAGCAAATACATCCTTCAAGGCCAGCTGTCCAGCCATCAGAGAAAACCCGCTGCCACCCTACCCCACCCCCCAACACACACATTCCCCTTCCTCCCAAAGCCTACATACACATACCAACAAACTCAGGATAAGATGCTGTTGTAGGTTTCTAGGTCTGAGGCTGAAGGTGGTTCCAAGACTCAGTTGCCTTTTCCCTTCTTCTCAGGAATCTGAACCCTGTACCCAACCGCTTCTGCCTGATACCCCTAAGTGGGCCAGAGCCTCCTCGAGTCACTCTCATGGTAAAACGTGCAACCAGACACATGGTAAAATGTGTAAATAAAAAAAATCTGGACTTTTTTCTCCAACTACCATCTTCTCTTGCTCCAGCTCCCGAGGCAGCCATCACCTTCTAGGGAAGGCTTTAGACCTCATCCCTTCTCCTCCCCCGAACCCTGCAGAAAAATTTCTGGTTAGAGAAGCTGGAGACAAGCAAGGAGATGAGGTTGGGGGAGTGCTAAAGGGAAAGGTCTGGCTTTTTTGAGATAAGAAGGGAAGAATCAACCTTTGTTTGGCCCCAACCAGCCTCTGCCAATGTTGACACACTTGGGAGTGCTTCCTGGAGCTACTCAGTAGTGTCCAGCAGCACTCCCTCCCCCCCGTTTCCTATGGCCTGGTTGGGGGCAGGGGATCTGGAAGCTGGAGGGAGGTGAATGTTTACAGATGTTTGGTTTTTGTTGTTGTATTCCCCCCATTAGGCTGCTTATTTCTGAGAGTGGAATCCACCCACTCCTGGAGATGGCAGCCAGATCTCTAGTGCAACAGTCCCCACACAGTCCTTCACTGTGTCTGCTCTGACCTAGGACAGAGGGAAACCTGCTAATAGACATTGGACCTTCCCTTTGTTTTGCATGGTAGGCATGCAGTGACTAGCACGTCACTCTATTCAGAACGTCACTCTATTCAGAACAGTGTTCAGGAAGGATACAGCTCCTGTCTCCAGCATACCACCCTCAATCCTGAAGGTCCTGCTACTTCCAGGCTGCCTTGCCTTCTACCACTGGGAGCATTCAGTTTCTCTGGGTGCTTCTCCACCTCTCTCCATGAAGGGGAGAAGCTGGCAGACTTTGCCAAATGTCCCAAGCATCTGGTACCTGTGTCTGCTGACATGGCCCAACCTCCTCCCTGGCTGGCCCCTCTCCACAGCATCACCACATGCTAGCTGGTCTGGCAATGAGACCGCTCTTGCATTCAGACACACCCAGTCAACAGAGCCACAAACCAGATGTGTTCCAGTATCACTTTAATTACAGCATTTCCACACACCACTTTTATTCAGAAAAAAAAAAATACACCCAATGCTCTTGTCTCTGGAAAGCTCTATTTCCAAGCGTCATTGAAACCAGGATCTCTGCTTACCCCTCTGGAAAAACACCAATAACAACAGACAAGGACTGTTGTCACCGCAGAAAAGGCAGCTTGTGGTAAGGGGCCTTAAGAGAAGTCCTGGGGCTCTGACCACACAGGGGTGCAGAGTAATGAAGGGACTGAGGGTGGGGGAGGCAGGAACAGGAAGGACGTCTGCTGGAAGACTGAGACCACAGATCAACCCAGGAGTCCAGGGAGGGAAGATGAAGCAGTGGAGATCAGAGAACAAGGCCAGAACCTAGCCTCAGAGCAAGATTCCTCAAGGAGCATAGGGCAAAAGGTTCGGCTCAAAGACCTGGGCCCAGGATCCTGTCTCCTTTGACCCAGAGGGAGAAAAAGGAGTCCAGGTAGTCTATGTGCAGCCCCAGAGAGTAGTACTGAGATGTTTGTTCTAAAACTTAGAGCCCTGTTCTAGGGTCCAGCCAGAAAACCCTGCAGGCCTCTGTACACAAAAAGGGGAGCACATGGATCTCGGTGACCTTGGAGAAAAGAGGGGAGCTGGTGACCCAGTCCACAGTGAGTTGGAGGAGGGGTAAGAGAAGTGGTTTAAGACAACACGTTTTCCTGGCTATATCATTGCAAGGGAGCAGGTACAAAGGGTTACTTCGGTTTCCCTCAAGTAGAAAAAGAAAATAGAGGGAAGAAACAGTAAAAACCAAAGTCTCCTGGGAGGAAACTGTAGGCTAGAAAAGCCCATCCTCTCCCCCTAGGGGTTTCTGTAGTGAGGCAGGAGGGGAATGGAGACGGAAAAAGAAAAGGGAGGAGGGAAGGGGG